AAGAAATGAACATCCACATCCAGCTCCTCATTCAAGGGGAATTTGTAGTATATTGTTGCCTTCTGGCTGCTGTTCTCGCTGGCCGGAGCGAGCGATGGTCGCGTGGGGGACCTCCATAGTCTCCACTGGCTACAGGGTTTCCCAGCCCCCTTGCATGCGCCTACCACTCCGCATCACACTGTGCTGTTCTGTTTGTTGGTTCCAAGGCGGACACCACTCACGGATTCACAGTCTCCATGATCATCTTAACAATCCCTAGGGATCCAAGGAGCTTCTCAGAAGGCACCTGGACCCTCCAAAGCCACCCCAAACACCGTACCTGAGAAGGTACGACTGGATCCCTAGGGAATGGTCACATGTTGAATAGTACACGGTTCAGATGCGTTGAGCCTCTTCGCCTCGGCTCCACAAATCTTCCTCAGAGAGCTTGAACCTCATCAAGAAGCTGACGCCTGAAGAATCGGTGCCAGGCTGTTCTTGTTGAACTGGTTGATGATCAAACCTCAGACCGTATCAAACCCCAGACAAGACGTGAAAACCATCTAAACACCTCGCCGCACCTGGAGGAAGGAGGAGTGGAGAGCTCCCCGCGACCCTCCGACCCGACCCTGCCGGAACACCAGGTCTCCGGAAAAGGTGGTGCAGAAGACGACCCTGATCGGGGCTCTCAGAGGGCCAAAGCAGCAGAGGTTGAACCCTAGACATTCCATGGGACGGGCATCAAGGACCCTCAAAGGTGAAGGTTTTGAGGGTCCAAACCCCTGCTATGCAGGGTCCAAGCCCTCCATGGGAGGGTCCAATGATTCTTAGGGTTATATATATAAAAAACTACCCCCTGAAACAACCCCGATCTTTATAGGGATCCGTTTTCGTACCGAACCTCAGTGTCCCGACCCTGGCACCGTCTCATAGCAGTGTCGAACACATCGCCGTACCTGACAAAGGTACGAAAACGGATCCCTAGCAATGAAAACGTCTCTAGGGAATGGACTTTTTTTTTTTCTCTAGGGAATGGATTTTTCTTCTCTTTTTACTTTTTGGTTTAAGACGTCTCTAGGGAATGTAGGCTTTCACAACCCCAATGCCAGGACCCACTGGAGTTGGCTGGTAGACATGGACACCCCGAATCACCTCTTTTCGGGGCGGCCAGAACGAACGGTCTTTTTTCGGGTCATGGGTAGTGGTCATGGGTAGACCTGTACCGTCTGGGATCAAGTTGGGTACATGGGGTGTGCAACTTGGGGTGCTTCGTTGAAGCTTCGTTGTGCTTTGGGGATCATGGGATTTGCCAATATCGGGGTGTCCATGATGCATTCACTGGATGGGACCCATTATAAACCATTCCAAAGGAGAACTGCTGGGAGACGTTTCGTGGTCGGTCGTCACAGGTCGGCGTGCCGAGTTCCGAACAGACAGTTCTTTGGGTCCCATCCATGGCTGGATGGGACCCAAGCCACCCCAGGCTCCATGTAGCTCCTAGTTGTTAGGCATTGTTGGACTGTTGCATGTGGTGATGCACTCCCTTGGGGACTAGAAACGATTCCTTTGGAGCTGCTGGCAACTATACCTAGATCAACTGTGCAGCAATTCCTGACGAACTGGGCTGGTTTTGTGGATGAACAAGGCATGACATGTTTCATAGTTGGAAGATCTACCAGGACACCCGGACCAGGGGCTTCTATGATAGCCCCTTACAGGTTAAGGGGTGTCCATGAACCACCCCGTGTGGGTCCTAGTAGGTATACCTATTCTAAGAGAGGCGGTATTTTCGTGCCCTGAAATGTCTAGGGTCACCTAGGGTGCACCTAGGGCCACCTGGAGTGTCCAAACGTCTAACGGGTCCTGAAAAACCTCAGTCGGGTCTTGCCCTGCAGGTCGCACTCACCGGGACAGCCCAAGGAGCCCAAGGCCAAAGCTGCAGGTCGGGGAGGCCGAGAGAGCGGCGGTGGCCAATCAGCGGCATGCCATGCCGGCAAGCCGCTGGAAGTGCCCAAATGTGTTTGGAGGATGTTTTGTCCCATGTTTTGTTCGCACATGTTTGTAATACATGCGGTTTTTTTCCTGTGTCCTGGCTGGAGGTCCCTACGTAGTGTAGGGGCTTCCATTGGTGACCCATTTGAAGGTTCTGGTATGTTTCTTTAGCATGAGTTGCTGGAGATGTGTATGTTCTCGGCTCCAAACAGGTACGGGTACATGATTGCCCGGCCAGAAGATCCAAAGGCCTCAAAGATCCAGTTGTTCAACTCCTGAAGCTTGGGGGGGGGCGCGGGGGCGCATGCCCAGACACTCCATGGACTGGAAGTGTTACTTAAATAAATTAGGACGATACATTAGGGTCATAAATGGAGTAAATGTATTTAACTATTCCATGTGCGCAGTCTCATGGAGTGTCATGGAACACGACAAAAGAACAGGCGGTGTCCACCACCCTGCCAGGCCCGAAGAAAGAAGCAAAGAAGCCTCAAGCTCAAGAACTAGGCTCCTGGGGCCTCTGGGCGTTTGCGGCTTCACGGTTAACTTGAAGGTCTTGTTTTAGTACCCTAGGGCTCTTGGCCCATACCGACCCTCAGAAGGTGGTTAGGCCCCCCTGGCACCCACCATCACTATCTTCTCAGGTAGGCCAGGAGCCCTAGGGCTATGTCTTCTAGCATGTGATGCGGCCCTCGCGGCCTTCGGCCCTCGCAACCCTCAAAACCCACCGCAAAGCACCGCTCCGTTCGCGTCTAGCGACCGTGTGCCACCTCTCTAGCGACCGGTGACACGACAGGTTCCCCTTGAGCTTCGTTCCCAAAGAGTCGCGCTGTCCGCTCTCCCCGGTGGGTGAACTCCGGTAAACCCGATCCCGGCTGTCGCGCAAGCGCGCGCAAGTCAGTCAGCTTGCGTGACTTCATTGAGCCAGATAGATGATTTAGGTCTAAGTCCAAGTGAGAGGCGTGACTGTACTCGTAGGGCACAGCTCGGGCCAAGTTCGTCCACAGATCCACCATCCAGCGATCCAAACTAGGCTCAGGTCACAGGGTCCGGGGTCCGGGTGGCGTTCGGTGGAAAACGGCCGTTCAGTTCAACATGTTTGTGCTTAATATATAGGCAGATGTTGTGTTTTCCCGGTTCCTGGGTGAATCCTTTGCCCTGAGGAATATATGTGGTTGTTATGGTTGTTGTTGATGTCGTTGTTGTTGTTGTTGTTGTTGTTGTTGTTGTCGTTGTCCATGTTCGTGGACAGCAAATCCAAGGAACGTAATTATACAAAAGTTCTTTGTCCGCACTACTGACCCAGCAGCCCGTGGGGGAAAAATTCAGCCTGTGGGCGGTACCATGCAGCGTGTGCTCAGAAGCTCCCGCCGAAGCTTCAAAGAAGCACGGGTGGCCCAGTTCGAGGGAGAGGGGATTGCATGGATCCATCGGGATCCATCGCATCCGCTGGAGAGGTTGTCCTGTTTTCAAGCTATTTCCTACCCAGGAGAGTCGTGGATCACCTGCAAGACACGAGCTTGTGAGATTGGTTTTGCCCACAAATAGATCGAACCAGATGGAGCAAGGTGGGCTCCGTCTGTTCCAGAGAAACTGAGGAAGTCAGATTCAACTGAAGGAGTCAGTGGCTCCTTGATGAGGAATCCAGCATCTGGGAACCAGTTTCAGCGGTGAAAGCCTTCCGCTGTGAAACCTCTCAGGGTGTGAGTTCACTCGTGCCGCGCCAGGAACGTTTTTTTTGGCGCTAGACCATCCATGGGACTGGAGTGGTTACGTGCATTAGGGTACCTGCATGAGGTTCATGAGTATAGTCTATATATATATATATATTGGGTCCAATGGATGTATATATTTGACTATTCCATCCAAACATGTCTGGGGTACCATGGTTCTTGATGTGAAGCTGATGTGAAGCTGAGGGTTCTTTGAGTGGCCCTTGTGACATTCCAAGACTGACTGGACTTTCAATCCAGACATTTCACCTCAAAATGGATCAGAGCGCGATCAACAGAAATGTATTGATCGTAAGTTCTATATCCTGTTCTATCGACCTTTGATGTGCGCAGAACGCGACGCCGACACCCTTTGAAGTCCGAAGAAGTTCCACCAAGGGACGACCACGGATTCTGCGGGGCAGGTCAAGTGGCCGAAGAGTGCGATATTCAGTGATAATATTCCTCCCGGCTAGCCAAACGGTCTTTCTGGACGGAGATTTCGACTTAGACCTCAACCCTACGGGGGAGGTTTGCATCAAATTTGACGACCCGTTTGATATTCCAACTGTGATAACTGGTGCCTTGATTCCCAGAACCTTGTATGCGACAAGGACGTTCTCTTGGGACTCAGATGCTGTGCAGTTGCTCATCCATGAGAAGATGCTTCCGAATGATCCCGCTATGATCTTGGACGGAATTTGAGGTCCAAGGCAGGTGCGAGCTTCCTGATCGACAGGTCTTGTGAAAAGTGCTCCACTGGTCTTTTGAGGCTGCTTTCTACAACCAGTTTCCTGATTATGACCATGAAGGGAATCCATGGCCAGCCAAATCCTGGAGACAGGGCCAACCTTTGAGCAAAGAAGGCTTGAGAGCTTGCATCTGGGCAGCGCAGGCAGATGGAGAGTACCTCCAGAATAAGTACCACTTGGCAGGGGCATCATGAAGAGATATGTTTCCATTGCAAGGCCAACAAAAGCACTCTTCCTTATAACGACTTTAGACCCACTGCCCATTGGAGGGCCACAGTGGTGGAGCACTCAGGGACATCACCTACAGACCATGCAATCAGCAGCATTCCAGGAGTTGTTGGAGAGAGCTTCAAGTATGACACGTTCCATGTCTTGGACGAAGGGCTCACAGCGCCCTGAGTGGTACTCCTGCATGGCAGGTGGCCACTAGGTGTGTTGGCGATACAGGTTAGGCCTTCACCTGAGGATCCAGGGTCTGATTTTTCATGGGAAGATATAGACAGTGATTGAAAAGCCGCCCTGCCACCTGCCAAAGGGCTTCACATAGCTTTGTCAGCTTTCGCCATCTAGAGGCAAGAAAAGACTTGCTGAGTCAAAAAAGTGCATGCATGAGGACATTATCTACAAAGCCATGTTGAAAAAATACAACAGCAGGTCTGTTGAACATTATAGGACCGGATAACCCCACATGTTAACAACATCACCAGGCACAGGAGCGGACAATTGGTGGTTGGCAATTGGTTGGTGGCAGTTGGTTGACCCTGCTGCTGCCAAGCTTCGCTGCATCAGCAGTGCCGTTGCCATCCGCACCGGGCAGGAGGTTCCTGTGCTACACCATACGTTCTTCCACAAAATGTGTGTGATCGCCCGCATTTGGCGGGCCAGCCGGCTGTGCTTCGAAGGCGCACTTGCCCCTCCTCCGATGCCCTGTACTTTTAGCATTCTGGTCTCGCCAGGGTTGTTGGCAGATCTGATGCTAAAAACGGCCGTGCCACTCGACTCGTCGTCCCACGGCCATTTGTCCGGCCGGCCGTTTTCTCGGTGCCGAGGGTGGAGAGGAAAGCATCTCCGCGACCCACCCTGGAGCGGGCTGGGACGGAAACCATGAAAACGGGAGTCATTATAGGGGCCTCGTTTTTGTTTGGTTTCCTTTGATGCGTTGATTTGTTTGTTTCTGATGTTTCTGTTTGTTTGGATGGTCTGGTTCAGTTCTTGTTGTAGTTTGTGTTCATGCATGGACTTGTCATGCGCAATTTCTGCAATTCATCTTCTATTGCAAGCCAGATGGCCAGGGAGGTCGGGCAGGCTGTAGATTGCCAGGTGTGTGAGAAGAGGCATGGGCCAAATGGAACCAAATAGGTGCGTGTTAAAATAGGGAGACCTCCAGTTCGATCTCGGGAAGACAGGGCCAGAGAGCCTCCCTATTGTATATACGCACCATTTCACGCCTAAGGCCTAAAGGTGACATCCAAGCTTAGTCGAGGTGTGAGGGTCACCGTTGGAAATCCATTCACGATTCTGTAGGTTCCGAGATTTTACATGACCTTGTTTTCAGATCTATACACCTGGAGTCTCAAAGTATGGGTGCACGTGACTGTTTATATAGGGTCATGTCCCATTGTTCTGTACTTGAAGTCGCCCATGACCTTGGTGTCGAAAGGGCCAGCGCAGCTGGGCGCTCGGCTCGAAGTAGGGATCCGTTTTCGTACCGAACCTTTCGGTACCACTGGACCCGACGTTTTGGCACCTATACGCGTCTCAGTGTCGAACACATCCAGTCGCACTCGTGGAGGGTGCCAGTGGATCTCTTGAAAGGAACCGGTTGCACTCGGTCGTTTGCCCCGGAGTCCAAGACTGGCTAGCTGACCAAAGGCGTCCCCCTGACAAAGAAAGAGCCAAGAGCCCAATGCCAAGAGCCAAGAGCCATGCCTTCCTGCATTTCCTTGGTGAGGTCTCTTCAACATCCTTTTTCTGAGAGACAGGAGCCCAACGAAAAAGACAACAACAGAACACCACCACATCATGTCCTGAGAGTTGGTTCTTTGAGAATCCGACTCCCATGGATCAACCTCGCATGATCTCGATTGGAAAGGGTCTATACCAGGACCATCCAATGGGTGTCCAATGGACTACTGTACCCCACACTACCTTTAGGCTTGCATTGGGCACCCCTTTGATGGTCCAGGTAGAAGTATCATGAAGTATCCCGACCTCTCACCAAACTTGCCATGCAAGCTCCAAGGATTACAACCAGCAGGGTGGACCCTATAGGACCTTCCGCCGGTGCACAGGACCCTGATCAGCGACCTGCCTGGGATGATCGTTTCTATGTGGTTGAGGCCGAGCCCTGACTTCTTTTCTGGGAACAAGAGACCTGCGGCGCGCCGCGTGGTCCTTTTGCTAAGACGTTCGGTGTATACCCCGTGGCTTTCAGTATATGGGCTCGATTGGGGTTTTGCTTATGATTTGTCATGTCCCTCTGGGTGAATTCCTCACGTCTTTCCCATTCTTTCCTTGACAAATTCAAGTGACTCGATGGTCGTGACCGGACGCATTGGATGCCCAAGCTGGGGGCGGGTGCTTCAGGACAGGGTGAAGTGCTTTCTTTCTCAATCCCTGGACGCCACATGACCCAATCGATGTTTTCTTTGACCCAACATGACCCAACTAGCTTCTGTCGTTCCTTGTGCCCCGTGACGTGCTTGGAGGTCGCATAGATCATCATAGATCCAGTGACCTGGAGTTGTAGGTCGTTTTGGGACCCCCAAGTCCTGAAGAACCAGATCAACCTTGGCACAATGAAGTTTGGTCCTTAAGGGTTCACCCCCAGCCCACCCCCGGTCCTTCTGGTGTCACGAAGTCTGTGCTGTTTGAGGCCCAAACCCGAGCCGAGCCGTCCACGCCACGCCACGAGGCCCCGAAGGTCCGGAGATGTTCAGCCCTAGAGGAGGAGCCGATCGAACGCGCTCGGTCGGTCGCTCGGTGACATCGGTCGGAACGGTACGGCCTCGATGAGGGCCGACGAGACGGACGAGACCGAGGTAGGTTTGTGCCGCCGTCGAGTATAGAAGAACTCGAAGAACTAGAGATGTAACGCCACCCTATGAACTCGAGTCTATAGTCATTACACGACACATGGGACTGGCAGATATGCCGATCAATTATAACCCCCCTGGCACCACCCCAATGTAGGCATATGTTTATTCCATACACGGAGCGTTTGGGTATAGTTAATTCAAACAACACCAAAGAACTAGAGAGAACTATAGAGAGCTTGTCCCGGCAAAAGACCTCAAACAGTGTTGAGTAGACGACAAACTTCCGCATTCTAGAGCACACACATGAGAGCACGCACATGAGAGCAGAAGTGCGCATCCCTCCTTCTTCTTGTAATGGAAAGTACGCCCTGGGATATTTTTTACTGAACGAATAGGTGACCCGAAGAGGAACTCCCTTCAGTGCGACAAAAGAGAGTCTTTGGACTTTGAGGGCTACAAGGATGTTGCTAAACGTGTATTGGGTGTGGGATGGTGTCTGTCAAAACCATCTCAAAAACCCTGCCTCGTTGGTCTCCCTGGTTGATGAACCAGGCTCCCGCGGGTTTTGGGCACCACAGCCACCTGTGGCGTCGTACATGTTTCTGGTTGAGTCGATGTACTTGGACTACGAACTGGTTCGTACCCTGGGGACATGGGACATGACCCGAACCAAAACAAGTACGACTGTACCCATTTCTTGCCGTATTTTGAGACTCCAGGTATGTATGAGTGCATTTGATGATCAGGTCAGCCACACAACTTGTACTGCCCTGGGGTTCGAAATACCTTCTGAGAAGGTGGGACTGAGGTGGGCTTAGAGGGTCTAAATACCTTCTGAGCAGGCACTTGGAGCCCTAGGGCTGAGTACTCGTCCTGCAGCATCAGCTTGTTTGCGAAACCCACATCCGTCTTCCACGGCGCTCCTGTGAAGGAGGAGCACCTCGCAAAGGACGAGGCGCTGCAACAAGCCGTTGGTTTGGGTGTAGATCGCAGACCAGGTCATCTGGAAGATGCGGGGGGAAAACGTCACTGCTGGCAACTGGCTAGAAGCTGTTGAGTAAGTCGTTGTTGAGCATGGCACCCTGCTCAAATACAACTGAGTAACTGATAATAACTGATACATATTTAAGCTAATATATCTGCAGGGACGGCGTTTGGTCGTGCCAGACATTGGCAAGCTTGCTTTTCACCCAACACTCCTTGCAAGACCCAGTAAAAGTGCTATCTAGCCCAGCGAAAGGGCTGTCCAGCCCAATTCAATTGAAAGGGTGTGGCAAATCAAAGGCTATCCAGCCCAATTGTATGTGAAAGGACCACTGAGCATGAAAGGGCTATCCACCAAAAGGGCTATCCAGCCCATAGGCCACATTGAAAACCTTCAAACTTTTTCACAACTTGGCTCTTCCAAGCCTTGACTTGGCCCCAGGTTGCCTTAGACCTTGGCAAATTTCTGGTTGTGCTCCTCACCTCTCTTAGAAATGAGCTGCACAGCTTGCCTCCCTCCCTGTCACCCTCAAAACCACAGCACCACTCTTGTAGGTCATCCAGTCGTTTGGAAGCCCAGTGGGTGCCTTGTTCTTTTGACAGGCAGGCTAGAAGACCATGGTGGGCCCAACTCCTCCTGCCATAGTCTCTTTGAAGGGCCCTCCTCCTGGTAGGTACAGGCTCTACTTTCTATGCTTCCTCCAGCAAAGTTTCAAGAGAGGCAAGGACAACAAACTGATTGAAAGAAATATCACTCCCAGTGCTCATAGCCATTTCTTCTTTTGAAACATGAGGGCTGTCCAGCCCAAATTCAATCAAATGTGCCCTTCCTCCTCCTTCAAACACTGGGACTATCCAGCCCAACACTAACCTAAACAAGTTTCTCCCAAGGCCCATTTCCATCCCAAGTACCCCAACCCCAGGACGACCAGATGCTGGTGTCCACCAGGGCTGACTTCCGCACCACCTCCAACTACCTTTCACGGCTTGTCTCTTCCAAGCATTGGCTTGGCCACAGTCTTCGCTGCTTTGAACATCTCCAGACCTTGGCCAATTTATGGGTGTGCTCCTGCACAGCTTGCATTCCTCCTGTCACCCTCAAAACCTCCCAGTGTTTGCCCTTTTCTTTTGGCTGGCAGCCTTCCTGGCCAACTTCTTTTCAGAAGAACAGGCCTTGCCATAAATAGTCTCTTTGAGGGCCTTCTTGCCGGCAGGCACAGGCTCCACTTTCTCTGCTTCTTCCCGCAAAGACTTCTGTTGCAGGGGCTTCAAACTCTTTCAAGAATCATCATCAGTCCCTTGCATGCTGGTAATGGGTGAGCTTCTTCCCAGCCTCCAGATATTTTGTCAATCCTCCTCCTACGGTTGGATTCAGCAAGTGTCTTCCACAGGGTTCCCTGCAGACAATGGAAAAGAATGCATAATGCCTGGGAAGTCCTTCAAGATTTGCTTGGGAGCCTCGCACAGGTAACGGAACACTGGTGAACACGCAGGCGATCTGTCGCAGAGGTCTGCGTGCTGCGTAGAGGTCGACCGTTCTCAAGAATCCAGGGACCTAAAGCCACTTCTAGATCTTCCAGGCTCCACAACCAACAGTGTAAACATAATTGAAGGTTGGGCCACCTGATTTTTGCAGAACCCTGCCAAGAAAAACTATTCTTTAACAAATATATTCATTTTGTTGAGAGCTCAGGTCCTTCGATTCTATAGAGGTTTGAGACTTGAAGAGGTCGCGCACGTGATTGAAAGACTTTGCGCTTATTTATTTTGCAGCCCGTGGCTCCGCAAATGGTCGACCAATTCATGCCAATCCCAGAAGATAATCAATTTAGAACATAGTTCCTTTTGTCTTGTTACGTAAGTAATAGGTTGGAAAAAAAAACGCTTAGATCCACTATAATTTCGAGGGCCTGAGGAATTCCGTGTAGCTACTCTGGAATCATAGGGGTTTCTCGCCGCATTGATGCAAACACTTTGTTGTTGTGACTCTCAGTCTCAAGGTATCTTGATTTTATATTATATATAGCAATGTTTTGTTTGATATGTTTTTGAGATGTTTGTCACAATTTTGTTGTTTTGGATTCATTTAGCATCATGTACCCAGATTTCTAAATTGAACGCGCCTACGCCGCTGAATTCATCACAGACCTCAACCACAAACCAACTCTTGATTGGGACTCCAAACCATTTTCCTACCAACACAAAAGGCTGCTAGTCGCAGCTAGTCGCCTGACTGGAAGACAGTCGGGCATCGACCACGAAGACATATCATGACGACAACGCTATAGTCGCCTTCATGGCACACGCAATCACACTTGGACCATTGGGACCAAACGGAAGGTTAATAGGCCCCACCCGAACCCAAACCCAACCCCCTGCCCAACGTCAGATCAGAGAATAGGCCCCAACCAAACCCAAACCACTACTAGCGCGGTTTCAGAGCCGATAGCATAAACTAGAAGTCTCAAGAGGCAGTTGAAGAGTTTGATCTACGTCATATTCGGGGTAACCTTTGCGCGAAAATTGAGCATCCGCAGTAGCAGCTACTATTGACAAAATATGTATCATTCGATAAGGTGATTCACCAGATTGAAGAGCACAAGAACAGAGAGTATTAAAGTATCCTAGCAATCTGGAAATTCAGTTTTGACATAAGAAGGAATGTACCCTTGGGTTTAAATCATGCATTTGGGTACGCACATTAGCGCCCCAGCAGCTTGGCAATATTTCACCATTCTTACATGGCGTCCCTAAGGGACGCCGACGCAGCCAGCCTCGGACCCGAGCATAAGTTGGTACGAACTGGCCATGTTGTTTTTTCAATACTGGCACCCACAGTGACACCCACATAAAAAGGACGTGCCATCATGCTGTGACAACACACTGCGTAATAGTGTGCACGCACGCATGGGTTCATATATTTATAATTCATGCACATACACGATCTGCTCAGCTCCCCCGGTACCCACACGCTTCATATATGGGGCCGGTTTCGGGAGGCATTCGCTCAGACGGCTGTCTGCAAGTTGTGATACCCTAACCAATGGGTTTTGGTTTATGTTCCTTCTTCCAGGAGGTCTTTGGGAGGTCGCAGACGCTCCCTTCACACCTCACCCCAACAGATCACGACTGGTTTTGTGATCCCTCTATCATTTCGCATGCCAAATAAATAAGGCAAACGTCTCTGCAGGACCTCAGGTCTCATCCGTTGAGAGTTGGTGCCCAGGTCCAGGCATGAAAAACTGGACCTGGCGGAGGGTGCTGGTGGTTGATGGCTTCAAAACATGAACACCGTGGCGTGTGGCCTGTCAGGTGCCCAGCTCGGCGCGAAAGTCTAGGCGCCCAGCTTGGGACCGGGAGACAGCCGTCTATGTGAGCCCCCGTCAGACATGTCACCCTGGGTGAGGCATTCGGAACATCACACAATCATCATCCAAACCCCGGGAGGGACCTGATTCATCTTCGATCTCATATATTATATATATATATACCTGGAACCCCACTGACCCCTGTTTTGATAGGAAGTTTGGCCATCTTTTGGGTGGTTGGTGGTCCAAAATAGAGGTCAGACTCAGGTTCTAGGTATATATATTATATACCAGCACCCTCCAGCAAGTCACCATTTGAGACACGTTAGGGCCCAACAACCCTCCAACGAGAAGACCTAGACCTGTCGTCGGGTGCTGGTAGAGTCGGATCCATCGTGTGGATCCATTACGTTGAACTAGGGGTCAATGTAGGCAAACAAGACACTTTCATCTACCATGTTCATCCATACAGAGGATACCCGGAGGCCTTGTTGTTGTTGTTGTGGTGGTGGTCTGTCTCTCTCTCTCTCTCTCTGTCTCTCTCTCTCTCTCTCTTTTGTTCAATTGCCAAGCACGGTCCCCCCATGGACGGGTCGCCCATCGTTCACCCGGTGGCCGGGCCGTCCTTCCGCGGGGCGCCAGATGCGCTGCGCCGGCAGATGCGCTGCGCCAGGTCACCTCGGAAAGAGGCGAGCGCGCCGGTTCCGAGCTCCGCGCCCAAGAGGTGGGAGCCGAAGCTCCGTAATCAGTGATGGGTGGGTCGAGGGGTGTGGGGTTTGGGTGGAGATGGTTTGGAGGAGGGTGGGGGTGGTGGTCGAAATCGTATACCTGTGTTTGTACTCACATAGAGAAGAGGTGAAAAGACAATGAAAGCAAGAACCATGGAAAAGTCTCTGGAAGGGAGGAAGGACGTTGAGCCTGATAGTTGCTGAAAGAAGGAATGATCCAAGTCAAGGGCGGGCCCACTTCTTAGCTGGCCAGGGTGGAAGGCGGAACAAGAAACTGAGAAGCGGTGATTCCAACAGCTCAGATGAGGAGATATGATTGGTCTGAGATGTCCTGCGCGATAAGGATGCAAATCACTGAATAATATGTGGGGAGGCTATTGGCTCTCAATGGTACTTCAGAGGGGCAACTTGCCACCCTAGTGTCACGTGGCATGCTGCTCACTGGCTGAATGTTTGCACCCTATACAATGGCATGTCCACAACTCCTGGCCCTTCATCGTGAGAACCCATGCCCTGAACATGGCCTGATGGCAGTCCCAGGCTGACGGCATCCTACCCAGGAACAGTGGATAGCCTTCAACATCATTCAATGCCCTTCTTTTGGGGCATTGACTCTCAGAGTCAGTTCCCCCTTCTCAGGAGCTTTAAGCCCAAGGCACAAGAGAAGGTGCCAGTGCGGACGCGGTGGACGTGGCGAAGTCAGTACTGCTTATAAGATCGATTTGTGTGGTCGGTTTTTTTCTTTTTTTTTCTGGGCACCAAGTTCGACCAATCTTCCGCCGAGCATCGTTGAGAGATACTGAAATGCTCACACCCGCCCTAAACCCTAAACTCTCGGGACTGGAACATCTACCTACGACATCCTACGACCCCTAATATATAACAGATCTCAAAGCCACCCTGGGCTGATCAGCATATACCAGGAGTCACATGTCGGGGTGGTGTTTAGTTCCATCCAGTGAGTGGAGTAGCTGGGCACCCCTAACCTCCATTAAGCACCCCTTTGTGACTGCTGGTATTTCAGTCTCATTTGTCATGTTTGGGTTTGCCTGAGGGTCCTATCGAGCTGTCGCGCCGTCGGGTGACTTGGAAGGCCCACAAGAGGAGGGACAGTTATATTACATGGATGTACATGGACCATCATTTGGCCCATGAAAGAAACACAACACCCACTGTTACATGTATCAACGATAATTATGACTGTAAACTGATGTAACTATCCCATGGTGCTGGGTGATTGTCAATTGGCCGAGACTTTCTGACGAGGTCAGATTTTTGGAGTCAGATCGCATCATGTATTTCCAGCGGCGGTCCTGTATGGTCCGGACCGTATAGACGTTTGGTTTCCCGATGTTGTGTGCCATGAAAAGTGCAGCTCCACATGCTGTTTGTGGAGCTGAATCTTGCGGATCTCTGGCGGATCTCTGAAGGTCATGCCATCCTCTTTGGGGGTTCCTCAACTCTTGGCGTCTCCTGGCCCTTGGTCCGCCAGAAGCCGATGTCCGCGCAGGCGAAGCCGGCTCAGCCCAAGACAGGAGTGCCTAAGGTCAGCGAGCCAAGGGCGTTGGCTGTGGTGTGACTTGGTGGTCATGGCAGCATACCACGACTTGCCGGATCCGAGCGCTTTTTCACCCTTATGATACACTGGAAGGCGGGATTGAAACTCTGGTTGAGCTACCCAGGTGTCGGTCGCGGCCCAATGGTGGACCAGACGACCCTGATCGTTTGAACGACCCTGATTTAACTGAGTGGATACCAGATGAGGATGCTGCTTGGAGTTCGACGAGACCACCTGGAGAGCGTCGTTGGACCCTGATCTGATGGGTGAACTAGAAACAGCTACAGCACTCCGTGCCCAAATTCTCCACAAAGGGTTTCGCATGGTTTTCGCATGGTGTCCCAATGTTTCCCAAGTTGGGGAGTCACTGGTCAGACCCACTTGGTCAGACCCAGTCGGTATAATTGCAAGGCCTTAACAATGCTTCCCTGCTTGCAAGTTGAAGCAACTTGGACGTTCATTTTTATTTGAATAGGGAGACCCCCGATCGCCCCAGTCCTGGCTTTATCGTAGACGGGTTTATGTCAACCAGAAATTCGATCTGGGAGGTCTCCCTATTTTGAGACACACAGACACGACCCATGGGACTGCCATAGGACTGCCGATCAAGCCAGACCCCATTTCAACCACCCCGAACGGCCGTGCCACTCGGCAGTTCGGCAGTCCCAGACGGGTCGTGTCTGGGACACACACACAACCAGCAGAGGTTGAAGAACCCTATAGGCTATCCCAGTTCGGTACCCCAGTAGGGTCCTATAAGGTCACTTAACCTCTGTTGGAACTTGTGGTTCCATCCATGTGTCTGGTACCTGAATCACCTTCGTCACCGGACGGACCCCCGGCAGGATGGAGGATCGAACCTGAATCCCGAATCTGAGGGGATTGGATGATGTTGCCATCCCGTTTGGGGTGTTGGTGTTCAGATGTTTTGATTAGGGCTGGGTGTTTTTTTAATGCTCTATTTTTTCCATGCGGAGATATGGACAGGGGTGCTTTGCTTTTTTCTATGCTCTAGGTGCCTTTTCCGATGCTGCTGGTGCTTTTTCGTAGCCTCGTGTTTTTCTTATACTGAGAGTTCTTACTTGTATGCACATGGTTGCTTTCTTTATGCAGACGGTTCCTTTTTGTATGCTGGGAGGTGTCGGCCGGGTGCCGACGGTGGCCGTCGAACAGGATCCTGCTGCAAGGGGACCCGTCAAACAGAATCTCTGGCAAACAGAATCTCTGGCTAAAGAGGCGTCCGTCAAACAGAATCAGACCGACGGTGCCTTTTTGTATGCTGGGAGATCTCAGGCGAGAATCCTTCTGCAGGAGGGCGCGTCAAACAGAATCCTGGGCCATGGAGGCTTGCGCCAAAAGCATCATGCCGACGGTTCTTTTTTGTATGCTGCGAGGTGTCGGCCGAGGTGTCAACGGTGCCGTCAGACAGAAGCCTTTGCTGCTCCTTCAACAGAAGTCAAACGGAATCCTTAGCTATAGAGGCGTGCGCCAAATGCCGACGGTTCTTTTTTGTATGCTGTGCACGAGGTCTCCGGCGAGGTGTCGACGTTGGCCGCCATGCAAACAGGGTCCTGGGCTATAGAGGCGTGTGTCAAATGCCGGCGTTGTGTCGGCAAAGTGAAGCAAACTCAAGACTGAAGTTGCAAACAAGAAGGAGAGCAAGGTTACTTCCTCAGCACAGGCTGAGAAAGCCACCGTTCTCGATTTTGCCAACCAGAGTTGGGGTGATATGGTAGAAGATGACTGGAATCTTCAAACACTTGAAGATGAATCTGAAGAGGAGGATGTTGAGAAGAAGGACTTGGCAAAGGCCTTGGGTCTCAAGCTGCCTGAGGATAAGGAAAAGAACCAGAAGAAGAATGACTGAGAAGCCACCAGCAAGATCTCAGCTGCAGATTCCCAGGTTGAGATCCAAGACAAGCTCATGAAGTTCAAGGCTGAGCTGGAAAAAGATAAAAGCCAGCTGGACTCAAAGGAGCATGAAGCCAAAAGGGCTGGTGTGAAAGACCCAAGCCCTTCAAGGAGAAGAAATCTGTCAGCCTGCTCCTGGAGGCACCCATGTGTGCACCCATCCAGCCATCATCCTGTCTTTTTGGGTTGCTTCTTAATTACCCCAAAGCTGTAGAGTTTGGGCTGGAAAGCCCCAACCAACCACCTATACAAGGCTTGGCTGAAATGTTTTAGCTGGTTCTGTTCATTGCCGGGGCCTTGAGCAAGCTTCTGGCTTTGCTGAAGAAGGACAAGATGGCCAGGGCTGAGTGTGGCAATGCGATGACAGTGGCATTGCAAGCCTTGAAGGCTGCAAAGCCTTTGAAAAGTCAATTTGCCAAAGCCATAAAAGGATGACTGGGCACTTTTGGGTTGAATTTCTCCTGGGACTGGAAAGTGTACACTTCTGCACATGGCCAAGGAACTGGCAAGACTAGAGAGGTTGCAGTTGTTTTTGTTGCTGGGCTGGACAGCACTCTGTGACCCTCGATGTGCAGATTTCGTGGCAGGCGCAGCAATTTGTGAACCTCGAAGTGTATGTTTCGTGGCATGCGCAGCACTCTGTGACCCTCGATGCGCAGATTTCGTGGCAGGTGCACCGTGGCAGGCGGAGGTTGTAATGGAGGATGTAGTTGAGTGAGAGGCTCTCGTAGCACAGATTCTTCTTCTAAAGGCCCTCGTAGCACAGAGTCCTTGTGTAAAGGCTCGCGTAGCACAGATTCCTCTTCTAAAGGCTCTCGTAGCACAGAATGCAAGGCTCGCTTTTCTAAGGGCTCTTGTAGCACAGATTCCTCTTCTAAAGGCTCTCGTAGCACAGATTCCTCTTCTAAAGTCTGTCGTAGTAGCACAGAATGCTCTTCCAAAGGCTCTTGTAGCACAGAATCCTCTTCTAAAGGCTCTCGTAGCACAGATTCCTCTTCTAAAGGCTGTCGTAGCACAGAATCCTCTTCTAAAGGGCCTCCTAGCACTTGGTGAACCGTCGCGCCACGCATACGGAAAGAAACCGTGCGCATACGAAACGAAATGGGCCCGCATATAAAAGGGAACCAGCCGCAAATGAAAAAGAACCTGACGCATAAAAAGCACACCCCATCCTGCAGCATACAGAAAAGAACTGTGAGCATAAAGAAAAGAACTACTCCCTTTTGATTATATATGTATACCTGGATCTTCCAACGACCAGACAATTCTGGTAGTTTTGGTTATTGACCCGGTTTTCCGCGCAAACGCCAGCAAATCAGCGCAACCGACAAAACGACCGCAAATTAGCACAAAACGCGCGCAAAAAAACCAGCAAACGACCACAAAAATCCGCAAAATAACGCAAAACAAACAAAACGACCAAAACGACCATAAAACCAAAACGACCATATTTTTTTGGTAGTTGGAAGGTCCAGGTATATATATATATATTATATATATATTGATGGTAATTGAGCGCACATCTTCCATACTAGCCTTTTCACTCTGATCTTTTGGGGGGTCCCATCATTCCCGGCCTAACTGACCTTTTACGGGCCCTTTTGTGACCCCAAACCAAGGAGCAAATTTGGTCGCTTTGAAGAACCAGGTGCCGCGTCACGCGGTGTTCTTCGTGTCAAAACGTTTCAATGGTGAAGAACCGAGCATGTTGCACAAACGGGTCATCGTGCCAAGGTTGTTTGGTAGGGCCAATATATTAGGTCAGTCTTCCCCAGTCCTATGGAATTTTCCCTCTTTTTCCACCTCACCTCACCTCACCTCACCTCACCTGCGCAGCCTGCGCAGCCTGCCCCCGGTCCACTCCAGGCGTCTCCTCGCCCAGTGAAAACCGTGGAAAACTTTGAGGCTGACAGGCACCGACGCCAGGCGTGGGCACTTTTGGGTGTTTTTTTTGGTGGTGGTCGCGGGATGGAAGTTGGGCGGTGTGGATGGAACTTCGAGGCGGATTCCAACTTTTTGGGGGGTCAGGTTGCATAGGAAAGATGTATGGAACATGTCCGTTTTGTTTGTTTTGATGGTGCAGGTCTCTAATCGTTTCGAGCCAGCAGATCTGGGGGAGACGACGTTCTTTCTAGTCCACCAGGTCTGAAAAAGACTCTCCACAACCTTGTTCCAGACACTCCATACAGGCCCTTTTGTGACCTGAAACTGAAACCATGATATGAAGTTCGGTCACTTGGAAGAACGAGGGAGCCCGGTTTGGGAGATAGGCACCAACCATCCGCCTTGAGTCCTTGAGATTTGATCCTTCCTTGATCCCGGGGAAAAGGCGCATCAGTGCCCAAAGGAGGGGCCCTGAGACTCGGATTGAGAGGATGTAGACATGGAATGACCTACACCCTGGAAGATGAACATGGAACCATATATGGAACCCGAAAACCACGTCGGGTTGTAGAGGAACAGTTGCCATGTTCAGTCTGTAGCATCCGAACCGGCTCACTTTGTACAACACATGTCAACTTGCTTGCCGAGAATCATATGGCCCTGGCCCATCATGCCCAGATGCGATGCGAAACGCAAAAAAACGCAGTCCCTGACAGGCCTACCTAGCAGAGGCCTGCCCCCAAACCACCAATCATGCAGGTCATAGGACTGCAGTATACTGCAGTCCCAGGTCGCGTGTGGGAGGATATGCACCAAACCACACCAACCGTCGGACGGGCAGACGGGCTTTGCCGATCCGCCGACCCGGCGACCCGGCGACCCCCACCACCTCAACTCATTGGTGCCCGTGCCATTCTTTGGGCGAAGAAGTTGAGCAAACAAGTCTTTCAAGGTTTTGGAGTCATAGTCAGACCAGGTGAGCAACGACTTACAACGACCCGTCGGAGTCGTATAGAATCATATATGCTGTCGTCCGTGCTGGAGTGTCTGGGACACACCACACAGATCGAGACGCACCATTCATCCACAGATGCCCCGGCTCGGTGCCACCTGCTCGGTGCCACGAAGCAACACGCTCTTCGAGCCAGGCGAGTCGTTGAGGCACCACAAGAGTTGCCGCGGACGAGACCGTTGCGGAAAAAGGTGGGAGCTTGCCAGGTAGCAAGGAAAGGGAGTTATATATTTACTGTATTATGATGTATAATAGAAGGGGGTCTTCTTTCGAGTTGGAAAAGTCAGATGCCTAAAAATCCATTGGATGCCCCTGAGTCATGTTGCAAACATACGGAGAGATGTACAAGGACAGTCACTGTCCTGTTGGTTCTGCAGTTACATTATTGATTAGTTAAATGTATTGAGGGCGTCTGTCAGAATGACGTTTTAATTTTGAGGGCGGCGCAACATCAAGCAATATATACTCTCTGGCGCGCTCCCCCATCGGCTGGGGTCGGCGGATAATCCAAAAGCCAAGCGCCCAAGCATCCTTCTCGATGCTGAGACTCAGTATTGGATGCATGGCAGGAAACATAAATTGAGGGCCTCTTTCCCTAAAACAATTCCTTTGAGTTGGGGTGGCTTTCTTCCCGATGTTTGTATACTGGAAAAGGTCTGTTAGTGGCCTTAGATTCAATGCTCAATGAAACAACATTGTAATGATCAAATGCAAAGAGAAGATTGTTCAAAACTCATGTATAGACAAAGTGACAGCGCTTTTTCGGGGAGGAACATGCTGAGGAACATCCTGAGTCAGATATGTTCAATGTAAAGGTGTCCAATTAAAGTGAAGGTGAGTCAGATATGTTCATCAATGTAAAGGTGTCCAGTGAAAGTTGTTTCCATAAAGCTTTTTCCGATCGCCCTCTCCTTGGGGATCCATTCTCGTTCCATTCTCGTTCCATTCTCCGTCCGACGTTCGCACAACACACGAAGCACGCTGTTCGAGACGACCGGAGACCATGGAGACCCTCACTGGTTCAGTTCCTGAAAGAACTGGAAGTGAGAAGAATTCTCCAGAAAGGATGTCTGGACCCTCCTGGCCAGGCTGGACTTGGAGACCACAGGTGGTGAACCTGGACACCGAACTTGGAAACACAGGAAACACCGACGTAGAGTCGGGTGCTGGTAGAGAAAGATCTTCCTCAAAGAATGGGTCGTGCGGACGCACTTTCCCTCCCTGTTTCGAGGCTCTCCCGGACTCGATTCGTCACATGGAAGTGGTGTGGCCGGACTCGGATTGAACATATGGTGATCCGAGTGATTCATCAGGATTCTACCATTCCCAGACACTCCATGGGACTGCCTACATTGACCCCGTTTCAACCACCCCAATGTAGGTAAATATGCCAGTCCCATGGAGTGTTTGGGATTTCTTTTGGGGGTCACTGTTTGTGTCATCCCTTCTTTCACCCAACCTGACCCGATCGGGTGAGCGGCTGCTGCGGCCACCTTGCGACGCAATGCGTTGGCTGTGGTGCTCAAGAATTACAGTGCAACCCAAACCGGTCAAAGCATGAACCGTTTCATTTAATTAATAAAGACATATAAAGACATATGTATTGTTTTACAATATATATATATAATATATAAATGAATAGCCTGAATCAAACATGTCTTGATCGCATGGCTCGTGAAAGAGCCCCACACTTTGCAAGCACTTCAGGCAAGCCTTTGAGGCATAACTCAGGACATAGTTACATGGAGGCTCAATTCGTACCCCAGAAAATGGAGCTCCAGTCGTGCCTGGTTTTGGTTCGGGTCATGTGCCATCAAGTCATCAGGTCCATGTCCTTGAAACCCGGATTGGGGACTGGCCTCTAGGCCATGTCGCCCGGTTTTCCACTGGTGCACCCCTTGTTCGATTGTTTGTTTGTCTTGATTAAACAGGGGGAACACCCCTGTAATTAAGTGTAATCACAGTCAATAGGTATCAATGTAGATGGTACCTGGTACTTACCAACTCATCGATGCTTTGGGCATCACGACCAGTGACCAGGACCAGACTGGACGTCCAAAACACCAAAATCAACGTCCAAAACACCAGGCAAACAGATGAGCAAGCAGATGTCATGTACAGTTGACAGACCAATGAGCGCCCCTTATGGATCTGATTCTCTGGGGGACCGTGATAATAGTATCAACTCCTGGACCCCTTGTTGGCCACAGCTTGTGAGGCGAACTGACTCACTCACTCGATCAATCATGAAACTGAACAGAAAACGTTCTGACCAGCTCCACGCTCTGACCTTCGCCGTGCTCTACATTTGAGACATCACACCATGTTGAGCTCGGGCCCTCAGGTTTCGAAGAAACCATCCAGGAGCATTGGAAAAATGGATCCAATGATCAGTGTGTTGATGTATGCTGAGCTTTTGTGCAGGCCAGTGCATCCAATACACTGGGACTCTGTGACATTCACCAATACCTGGGCTGAGCATTTTCCTTGTCAATTCTTTTCACATGTTCTCGCAAAACAACTTAAGAGCTTGACGATGGCTTCATAGTGGTGCCATGACCTATGTTTAGGGCGTGAAGAACCTCTTTTTGGCGAAGTAGATGATGTATGATGATGTGTATTTCTTGGATGGTTTGGGCAGAGTAAACATGACCCCTAGGCTCGGCTGCACTGTTCCAGAGCAACAAGGAATACATAATGTGCACTTAATTTTGCACCACCACAAGTGGTGAATGGTTTCGAACAGCCAAAGCTGCAGCTACAAAGATGGTAAGATCTGAATCCTGTCATTGAAATCGTGGCAGGCGAGTGGACTCCATTTTGGCATCCCACTCAACTTGAAAACAAGCACTTCTTTGGTCAAAAAACCATCTATAGCAAATGCACTGTTTTTCAATGTGCGGTACGTTTTATTTACTGTACATGGATGAGAGACAGCTGAGACAGCTGCACCTTGAGGTGCTGCAAAAGGGGTGGAGATTTCGCCTGGTCCCTTTGACCCCTCTCGAGGCACTGACCAAGTCTCTCCTGAGAGGCGCATGGGTGAAGGAAGGGGGCGCGCTAGGCTTTTCGTGGTGCCTGCAGGAAGGATGACTTGGTTTTGTAGTTTTCGTGTGATGTTTGATTTTTCCCGAGCTGGATAAATCCTCCTTTGGGTAATATGTTGTCTTTTTCTGGGCTCTTTAAGCAGTCGACTTGGACCAGTCCCGGTAGGTGGGCACGTGACCGCCAGGTTTGGGCCCGGTGGGAGCTGTTATAGATCCCTATAGCTGGAGTTCTTGGATCATGCAGAGAGCCATGTCAAGAACCCTACGCCAGCAGGGTCTTATAAGGTCACTTAACCTCTTATTGAATCAGCAAAGTATATACAATTCCACCCTGTTCCATCCGATCATGTTGTTTGTTTTGTTTTGTATTGGTTCATAATTGATCATAATTGTTCTTTGTTTTTTGAACAACCAACTTGCCAAGTGATCACCATCTTGGCCTCCCTCAAAGGCGCCATGTTCTTGCCTTGCACGATGCCTTCCCGTGGCCGAGGTGGGGTGCTCCCCTCGGCACCTTCGCCGATCCCGCTGCCCTTGGGCACTTCGGCGGCTCACTCTACGAGGCACCCACCTGCCAATTGGGTGTTAATTTTTTGCCCAAGCCCACTCCTGGAAGGTTCAGGAGATCGTTTTCCGTCCCGGAGTCCCACCTCCCTCTTGTGGCGCAGGCAAGCCTCACCTGTTTGAAGTGCGGCAAGAGCATCCAGATGGACCAGCAGCGCGAGCCGCGCGTTCCGCGCGCGCGCGCGCCACGCGGAACCCGCGCGAAACGTTTGTTGGTCCAAGCGGTCGCGCTTCGGTGGCGGACGCCGGCTCGTTGGATGTTTTCCCCCCAGCCAGGCTCATGAGAAGAGGACAATTGACTCCCGACTCGTACGCCCGGCCAAGTCCAGTTTCTTGCTGGGGATTTAGTAACTATAGCCTATAGTGTAAGAGAAAGCTAGCCCTATAGCCTATAACCACCCTAGCCCTAGTGGGGATGGAGTATGGAACATGTCATGACAGGAGCTTCTTGTGCATGCAATATATAGTAGAGTGTCATTTGGATTGCCCTGTCAGTACTCGAGAAATCTCGACAATGTTTGTCTCAACGTGAACATGTCGGCCCATATACTGTAGTTGGCAAGGCCTAGAAGTAGTGCAAGACAGTCGTCGCAAATCAACATTCCAAACATCCCATTTTAGTCTACGCAGCCACTGGCAAGTGGTTTCGCCTGTTTGGTTTCTGGCTATTGTTCTGGAACATGTGTTTTTTGTGTCAGTCAGGTCTTCATGTCCTTCCGTCGCGGTCGGAAGCGCCGCGGGGGAACCCGCGGCATCGAGCGCGACGGTCCGGAGGATTCGCTGTTCTGTCGATATTGCGGCCACAAGAAGGATCAACCCGTGGCGCGCCAAAGGTCGACGACCGTCGTCTGGTCGAGGGGAGCGCTATCATGTTAGCCAGTGCAGCATGTGATCAACCACTAGGCCGGCAATGGACCCTGAAAACTACTGTGTGGTAGATGAGAGCAAACTTAGTAGGGGTCAACGAATATAAACGCTCAACGCTGGGCCTGGGTGATTTCTTATACATTTTCTTCCAGAAAGGTTATTCCATGGTATTCCTAGTCCATGGCACATTGTTTGACACTGTTTGAGTATACGGTATGCAGCCATTTACCCCGAAGCATAGCAAAATGACGACAGCTTGCGATGTATGAAATGCGATCAATTCATTCTTTTGGTCATCGTATACCGGTTACACACTTATATAAGTCGACGCGGCGACTTCTTTGAAGTACGAAGAAGAAGACCGGTGAGCGTTTGACCGAGAAGGAGACCGGTGAGCGTGTTCTCAGACGGGCCGAGAAGTTTGCTTCAGAATGCAGTTGCTGAACGAAAAGCTGTAAAAGCCGGGCGTGATCGGGCGAACTTCCAGAAGGCGTCCTCGGTGGCACGGTGCGCAAAGCAGCAGAAGCCATGTCGACCACAGCGGCAAGGCTGTTCAGGACGCGGTCAGGCGGCGATGCTGATCAAAGACGGAGTCTCTTTCATGTCCTGAGAAACGTCTTGTCATTCTCTCTTGTCTGCGCTCACATGTGCGGCTTAAGCATCCACCTTTCCAGGTAGGATGGTGTGGTCGTTGGCCACGATGCTGGCTGTCATGCCCCCCCCTCAACGGGGCGTCTGTCCCTGACACCCCATTGACGGATCAACAAGCTGCCACCCTGCACGACGCCATACTACGCATTGCCCGACAAGCTGCGGCCGCTGCTGCCGTCGAGATGGCGTCCCGCTAACTGAGTGCCCTTGCGCTAACGTCTCACAGCCTCACGTTTCACCATCACCCAACCTACCGACTCTTCACAGTCCAAAAAGACAACAATACCACCTTGTGGCTGTTCACGACACTCCAACCTTACACTACACTACCTGTGTTTACCAATATTTATCCTCCATCACCGCAGCCATTTTCAGCTTGTGTGGTAACTAAGTTTCTTTCGCCCTACTTTTCGAGCCTTTTCACATCAACGGATCTACGATGGACCACACTCCGGAGTGCGACGAGCAATCAGAAGTCCTTTTTGTCTTCACAGAAGATGCGGCTGACAACCAACCACCACCCGCAACTTCTCCACCTGCAACTTCTCCACCTCCAGCGGCTTCTCCGGCACCACCTCACACAGATTCAGCTGACCAATCCTTTTGGTCTGAAGTATACACTCTCGACCCACCTCACGCCCTAATGGGTGTATTGACAGACCTCCACATCCACCGTTTTCTCCTACATCAGCACCTTACCACTCATATAGCTCTCACAGAAAGCCCAATTGGCCATCAGCCACTCACTGACACCTTACCGCAACCCATCCAGCGTATCATTGCCATCTACCACAGCAACCTGCAACGAGCACAACACCACACACGCCTTGCCCTCAACGCCCTGGCTCGCTTTCCACCAGCGGCCTACTTTACTGACCCAACTTCTTCACACCAGACCAACAGCACATCAACCCCCAGGCAGCTTCACCACCCAGCAACATCACACCACTCAGACGATACCCACTACCGACCGCCTCCAGCAGCGACACTGCCATTCAGCATGCTGCCACACAGACAACTTCACCATGGATCTCCGTTCTGGACACACACATAACAGCCCCAAGCTTCCATCAATCACAACAGACCACCCCACGACCAGATACTCACAGCCGACACGCCCAGACTGACATCAATGCCATTGTCCACTACCCAGCTTTCGCAGGTATCCCAGCCACTCCCCACACAGAGCAATCTACATCTTCAAACACCACTGCCAACATCTCAAGCACCACGTCACCCACCCTTACTGCCGCCGCCAACAAGCAACCCCATGAGCGCTGGCAGTACGTCAACCTTATCCCCACCCCTACAGTCAACACTCCAGTACAACCGGAACACACTCTTGATTTTCCTTCCCCCATTGGCTCCAAACAAGTTCAGGCAGGATCTGAGGTCGACATTCATCCATCCAAGGACCAGGTCTGCTTACGACCGCCGGCCGTAAGCAGACCCTAGGTTTCATGGGTTTGAGACATCGCGCCCACAGTGGCTCCAGACTTGAGACAGCACAGTCGAAGGGCACATGACGGCTGCTGAGATGAATGATGTGGTGATGGCAGCTGATGAGCTTGATGTCCCTCCAGCTCATCCTGAGGAAGGGTGGCTTTCAGCCTTTGAAGAGTGGCTGAATCAGTCATGGGGTTCCTCAGTTCCTGCTGGCTTTGCTGCGTGGCTGCGCTCGAAGGTGGATGAGGCCTGTCTGTTCCAAGAATCACCTATGGATTATGAACTAGTTTGCTTGCAGGTTGCTGTGGGCTCTCCAACTAGTGAGCCACAGTTGTGGCAGCTCTCGCCTGAGATCACCACGGCCGTTGGGTGGAGAGCAGTGCATGCTGGCAGCGTCTTGCACAAGCTCTTAGCCGACAGAGGACAACAGTTGCAGCTGGGCATTGTTTCATAATTGTAAATGGTAGTGTTCCAGGGGTAGGTTTGTCTACCGCCATGGCACCAAAGAAAAAAAGAATTCAGGAAAGCTCAGTGTCCCTACCGCCTGGGCGTGTGCAAGTCTCTGACAGGGAGGCGTCTTCAAGCCAGGCTTCGGCATTACCGCCTCCACCCCCGGCAGACGTCACGGGTCCAGAGGCTCCTCAGAAAAAAAAGCTGAGGAGAGCAAACATGTTGAGGGCCAGGAGGCACAATCAGGCAAAAGCTCTTTCATTTTACAAGTCCCCGCCGGATTGGTTTTCCGAGCCACAAGCTGATTTCCAGGTGGTGAAACGCTTTTTTCAATCGCTTCGGAAGAAGGATGTGTGGGGAGCACTGATATACTTGTTTTCAATGATGTTCAACATTATCTCTGCATGGAAACCAGATGCAAGCTTCGGTCAACGAGCAAAACATCGAACAGCCCCTGCGAGGGCCTTGCAGTGGCACCGACAGCTTCGGCTGACAGCTGCCGACATGCACAGACTCGAGGGCATGTTCAAGGATCAAGTCCTTTATGGTGCCATGCAGGCGGCAGAGCAGGCAAACGCAGCTGCAAAAAAAAAGTGGGGCCGGAAGGACTGAAGCCTCTGCTGCCAGCTCTGCTGCTGGTTTTTCGGAAGCTTCAGAAGCCAAACCCAAACAGACACCTGAATCAAAATGGTTGCCGAGGCTACACCTCACCTTCCAGTGCATGCGTTTTCTTTTCGAATGTGGCAGATGGTCTTTGCCATTGAATGAAGAGTGGCCCGACGAGATGTATGATTCATGGTGCATTTACATCGATGATTTCCGTTGTACCCATGCTTGGTTTGGTTGGAAGAAGCCGAAATTCCGTGCAGTGGCCTGGGAGCATTTCCAGGCTTTCTACAAAGACGTCAAGATTGAAGGAGGCAGCCACTCGCTATGGCCTCCCTCTCGGTCGCGTCAACCGCCTGCCCATCCACAGCCTGCAACAACTGGTCAGCGTAGGTGCAGCCATTGGCTGCTGACTCGCTATTCTCAGCCAGCAGCAACCCAGCCATACCACCATGCAACACCTCTTTCACCTCCACCGCGCCGTATCCATTTTGATCCATCATACCCAATACATTGAACGAGCAGAGGCCATCTTTGCGACCGGCCTGATCCACATCACCCTACTCTTTGCATATCCATCCACAACACACCGATCTCAACAGTGGCGCAACCGCTTCCGCCAGCTCCACATCCTTCCACATACCTACCACTACCACAACTTTCTCTCCCAAAACTCCGTTTAAATCAACCTCTACTTCAACCCCACTCCACCACATCGTTGTTGCCACCAGCATGGCCACTTCTATGTCGGCTCCACAGCCATTGGCATTCCACACAGAGAACACAACCGCAGAGCCAAGCTCAAGCAACTCCAGAACAATATCCCAGTTTCAGCACAACTCTCCTTACGCTATTGGCATTCCCACAACAACATTCACCACTACACCACCATTCAGCTCACATCCCACGACAATTACGATCAGGCCTCGAACCAAGAACACCATCACATTGCCAACTGGATGCCTACACTCAACTGGCCCTTCATCTCACACCACCTCAAGCTTAAAGCCCAAGGTTGGCAATTCACCAAACATCGAGCGCATTTTTACTCCAGATTGGCCACTCACAAACGTCTCTTTCGACGACTACGACTACGCCAACAGACCATCAGAGAACCACACCTTTACACTTCCACCAAACACCACGCTCTCACACTCCTCCGCAACCTCACCAAACATACGGCAGCCTCCTTTGAAGCAGCAAAACAACTGCGCAGCGGCCGCCATACAGACCTGGAAGTCTACGCCATCAGGCGCATGGCCGCCAATCTTGAAGAACCAGGCCGCAGCAGAGCTCTCCACATCATCAACAAAGCCCTCCTTTTCCGCAATCTTACACCACCCAAACCAAACATCCCGCTCACAGTGCCTTTCCTGGCGCACGACGACTTCACAAAACACTGCCAACAGTGGCTCCGCACCACCATTCAGCAACACAAACATTTGGCCATTCGGCAATCTCCCGAACTTTTTGAACCGCTTCCATACCTTACAGCCGCCAACATCCACGACCATCTCAAAGCCACTGTTCCCCCCATACTACGCACCCGCTACAAGTGGGGCTTCCGCGAAGACTTCAACATCCCATATGGTGTGGTCCACCTCAAAGAGAAAAAACAGTGGCAGAAAGGCCGCACCATTATCTCTTACTTCCACTCACTCAGTGGCAACCTCCTACGCATCACCAGCCGTGTTCTTGACATCATCCTCCAACACCTCCACCCACAGCATCCAGGCCAGCTTTCCATCCCGCAACTCTGGCGCCATTTCCTGCTACCTCACCCAAACCCCAGCAGACATCTCACTGTACGCCACCAACGACGACCTGGTGGGATTCTTCAACTCGGTTCCCCAGCATCGTCTTATCGATGCAGTCCACTCCATGATTCACCACTGGCAAACACAACAATGCACACACACCCTCACAGTGGACGTTCAAGCAACAGGCAACCCCTTCCACCACTCCCACATCGGCCGACATCACCAAAAACACCCCACACAACGTACCATCCAGACTTCCGACATTACCACCATTGTCGCCTACGCACTCGACACCTGCATTTTCCGTGCATGCAATAACACTTACAAACAAAACCGAGGGGCTGGGATTGGATCCCAACTCTCTCCAGCCCTATGCAACGTCGCCATCACCCTCATTGAACACTCCTGGCACCAGATCCACAACAATCTACTCCAACACACTGACCTGCACTTTACATACTACCGATATGTTGACAACAGATTCATTGTCCACAACGAACACTTCCTCCACCACCCAGCCATACAAACCCTCATCCATCACAACTTCTTTGGAGACCCAGTGGAACTTGAACCAGTTGACGATTTCCACCTCCTGGGCTTCAACATTGACCTACAACAACGGACTATCACCTACATTCAACCTCTACAACCCTGGAAAATCAGGGATGCAACTAGCGCCGGGAGCCACCGCTTGGCTCTGTGAGGCCTCCAATCCAGACTTCACACCATCCTTAAATACACCTTTCCACCTTCAAGCGCTGACGCTGCTGCCACTGAGCTAGTGAAGCTCTACGTCCAAAAAGGACACAACCCAATTGCTTGCAGCCGGTTTTTGAAAGGAAAAAGCGCCGATCACGGCGACCTGTGTGTGTCAACCCCTGTCCCGAAGGGTTCACCACCACCTTCACAATCACCACAGTTTCACAAGCAGGGGCACTGAGCACTCCTTGGCAAACTCAGTGCAACGAAGCTATGCCTTGGAGTGGGAAGCACGGATTGATCACCCGTGTGTACCTGCGACAATTTGGAACTGTTGAACACGCTGTCCAATTTTGCTCTTTGATTCCATAGTGGTTTCATGCTGCTCCCCACAAACCCTTTTTCCACCGTTGATGTGCAGCCGCGCTGATCGATCTGCAGACACGTGAACAATATGTTAAACTTTTCAAATGCGCCGACTCTTTCACCTTTCCGTTCCATCGCCATTTTTCCTGGGAATTGAGTTAACTGAAAACCAATGTCAGAGTGTAACCCTCGGAGGCACAAGGAGCCTTCTGGTTTTAAAGCAAAGAGGTGTGAGTTGTCCTCTTGGACCAACGAAGACGGACTCACCACTGGTGAAGCGGTGGTCAGTCCAACTCTACAAGTCGGATTTTCAATGAAAACAAAGGAGTGTATGAACTTCAGTACTTTCACTCACTGAACGGTGTTTGGGAGAACCTCAGTCTAGTGTGACAGAGCGGTGTTTTGGACTTGCTGGTTTTCTAAGCACACTTCTCACTTTTCACCTATGCTACTATGTGGCATATGGTATTCATACCCTACGTCATTTATCTGGAGTGTGTTGGTTGGTTGCATAACGTCGATGCTGGGAATGTCCAAGCACCTTCGTGGAACATTGCAGTTCCAGGCGGGTTGGCTTCAGATACCAATTTAATCAGCTACTCACGCAGGAAGATAGCCACGCCATTGTGTGACCATTCTCTTTAAGCCTTGCAAAGCCATGTTTCTTCGCCGACGCGACAAAGCCTTTGTACCGAGGTAGGGGCTGATGCCTTTGCCTTGACCAGTGGGGTGTCCAAGTCAAAACTAGCAGGAGCTTGGTTTGGGGTGTTCTCCGGTGCAACAGAGTGTCGCAACACTTCCCTTGAAGCTTGTTGCGCCCCCAAAGCAAATCGTACGCTCACTTGCTATTGGGAAATATAGCCGTGGGCTTCGATTCGGGGTGTCCAGCAGAACACTACTTTCAGCTAGCAGCTAGCTTGTGCGCTCAAGCACTTGCTGTTTAGATGGTTGGTGAGAGGCTTGCTTAGCCAAACAGCCCCTTTTGTGCCTCTTTCTCACTTCAAGTGAAGAAGTGAGGCCATCACTGAAAGCCCAACCAGACCGGACAGACCCAGATTTGCCCCCATTCACCTCCGCAAGACGGACGTTCGACGTGAGGTCGTTGGATCGAACTGTATGTGGACAATGTGGACACATGCGCATTTCGATCAAAAACATGCTGAGTAGATGGTTTTTTTTACATTTAGAAAGTAACAGCACACTAGCAGTAATGTAAGCAATAGTTGCACAGCAACAGTCAGTAGCCTAAGTAGCAGCGAAGTAAGCAACAGTAGACTAAGTAACAGTTCCACAGTATAACAGTAGGGCAGGCCAGAGTTGTATATCAGCAGTACTAGTAGCGTAAGTAATAGTTGCACTGTAAGCAATAAGTTTCCACAGCAACAGTAGCGTAAGTAGCAGTGAAGTAAGGAATAGTAGACTATGTAACAATTTGACAGTAGCGGTAGCTCAAGCGGTTGCACGGTAACAGAAACAAAAGTAACAGTTGCGCGGTAACAGTTTAAGTAATATGTCAACAAACATAGCATATTTAGCAGTGACGCAAGCAACAGTAGATTGAGGAGCAGTTCGCGCAGTAGCAGTCGCTCAGGTATTTGCTGCACCGTGGCAGACACACAGATGACAGTTGCACAGCAATACTGTAGCGTAAGTAGCAGTGACGCAAGGAACAGTTAGCAGGTGCGTAGACAACAGTTGCAGAGAAGCAGAAACACAAGCAGCAACAGCTTCGCAGTGACAATGCCATAAATGACAGTTGCACATAAGCAGTAGCGCAAACAGCAGACATGCAACAGTAGAGTAAGTAACAATGGCACAGTAGCGGTATTTTTGTTGGTTTTGCTTACGTATAGGGTCATTTTGTTTTTCCCCGTGGGTATATGTCCTCTTCTTGTCACGTGTTTTGGTTCCCAGCTCTTTAAGCAACTCCAAGTAATGCAGTTAATCATGGTGAGAATGGTGCTGTATACTCCCGTTGGGTGTCATACATGCGGCGTGATGCATGCGCGCCCGTGTCGGTTGGCTGCATCAGAGTCGACCTTGCATTCATTGGATGGTGGAGTTTCGGTCCCCCACTTGCCCGGTTTCTACTTGTGCAACCAATGTTGGTTTAAAAATGTGTTGATATGCTTGGATACTCTGGGGATTGCACACCTAACTGTTTGGATCCAGTTTCGGATCCTACTAACAGTGTTTGGTCCACATGAGCTTATGGTGCGGTGCAGAGTTTGAATAGCATCACTTTAGCAGTGACGTGTCCACGCAGTCCCTACAGTTGTTGAGAGTGGTTTTCAGAGTCTTTAAGATGGTCCTTTAAGGACATGTAGATCACCTTTCAGGGTCTTCATAGACGATGTTGATCACCTAAAGGTGACCTTCTTCCTTCTTCAGGGTCTATGTAGGTCACCTAATTTGTAGAGTGGTTTGTTCACCTAATGCAGGACATGTAGATCACCTACATCACCCCCTACCTACAGTGGTTTCAAAGTCCTATGTAGATCATCGAATTGGTGAAATGCGCCATGTTTTCTTTGCGGCCCGCACTCAGATGGCCTCACGCCTGGCGCGCCTGATCGCAGGTCAGATAGCCCAGTGGACCCAGCAAACACAAACGAGTGGCGTTTTAAGCAACACCTGAATGAAAATCAAGGAAATGAGTTCAGCACCTGTTTGTCGCAACACAAGGTTTTAATTGCAGGTGCATCAGAGCGATATTTTTGGATGTTGCTGGCAGAGCGAAGATGTGTTTTCTGTGGGCAGGTGCATCCATGAACACAAACAATAGTTGAACATGAGCTAGGGAGTGCCTGTGCCAGAAACAGTTTGGGAGCGGAGCGGAAACGAAATTGCCCAACCCAACCTGCTTTGGGTCACGCTTCAAGCAGAGAATCTACTCCTATGGATGGATGCTCTTCCGATCCTGTCCCAGCATTCCCTGGAGGCCAGAGGCTGCCATGACTGCCCACTTCCCAACGCCACTGAGCAAGCAGTCGACCTCGTCACATGGTGGGATTGTCGCTGAGTGTTCATGGCCGACGTGGCCGACGTCCAGACCAGCCGAGGTCGCTTGGTTCATCTTCAGGTCTCAAGTGGCCCGAAAGTTCAGAACATCTTACCTGCCATGGGATCATTGAACCCTCAAACTACATGTTTTCGGTCCATTTCACCCTAGTTGTGAGGGTCAGAACCTCAGCTATGAGGGTCTTTTGATGGCCCTTTCTGAGCCTTTGGGCTCTTCGGGTTGGAAGACTCGTCATGGACTCGTCACGCGGGTGCATTGCCGTCCTGCCAAACCCACGACGTGAAACCAGCGGATGATTCCACGTGGATTGCCACACCCTCTGCCTGCAGGTCTTGGCTCAAGAGTCCTTAGAGGCGAGGCCGTCCTTTTTGCCACATGGAGTGCGTCATCGAAGTGGACCGCGTGGGAGCTGTGCACCTGGGCGCTTTGCTTGGGCATGGAGGACAGGCCAAGGTGATGGAATGCAGTGGCTTGGCAGTCTGGATGGGCAGTTTGGATGGATGGGCGGTTTGGATGGAGGAAGTCACCACTGACAGTTGTGCACCGGTAGCAGAGACCAGGTGGATAAGCATGGTATCCAGCTGGAACCGGCTCCTTCCAGCCACTTCAGGCTGTGTAGTGTACCCGTTTGGGCTCCTGTCCATGCTCAGGTGGTATTCGACCCCCTGGTACCCACTCCAAGCATCGAAAAGGAGGTAGTTGGAGCCCTAGGGTTATATTATGTTATATTGTTATAGTATGTTATAGTGACTTAGTGTGTGTACTTTTCGAGAAGAAGATGCATGCTCCATTTATCGGCAGTCTAGCTGAATCTATTCTTGAAGCGCTGGAGTCTTGAGTATTCCTGTCCTGGCCGTCTGGCCAGAGCGGACCCCGAAAGATGGCCACCCTGACCGTACCTGACCGTACCTGACGTCTTCCGGAACAGAAAAGGAACCGAGCCACCGTCTGCCACGACAAGTTCAGAACTTGGAGCCAAACGAATCGGTCGCTTCAAACCTCAAACCTCACGGGCTTTGGAGGTGGTTGATTCCCAGACATGACTAATGGGACTGCCATGCATCGGACTGACGCCCCAGACAGACCACCGATTCAATCACCCCGAACGGCCGTGAAACTCGGCAGTCCTATGGCAGTCCCATTAGTCGTGTTTGGGATTGCTTTACCTGAAAAAAACACCCAAAAGGCTAAAAGTTCCGTCAGAAGGTATGACTGGACCCTCCTGGCACCCACCTCAGTCCCACCTTCGAAACGAAGGTACGGTCCTGGAGCCCACTTGGGTTAGTTGATGTCATACCCAGAGGTTTTTCACGTCGTGACACTTCGCCCCCGAGGCTTAGAGACTCCATCCGTGGCCACGGTGGGCAAGTTCTACCAGGACGTCGGCCCGGCCACGGTGGGCGGAGTTTCGGTGGCGACCTAGTGACCTGGACCCCGGTCATCTGTGGTACCCCACTGGGATAGGTCGAACCATGTCGAACCTATCGGTCCTGAACCTCTGGGGGTTGAGAGATCGCTGGGCTCCTGGGCGCAACATGCGCGCAGGGCGCCACATGCGAGGAGCTTTCTTGGAAGGGTGAGTTGAATCAGACTGCCAGCCACGAGTTCGAGATGCTGCAAGCTGCAGCTTCACCGTATGTGGTGAAGGCATATGCTTTGCAACAGGCCGGAATCCAAACAGCCGGTCGTGGGGGCGCTTCTTTCAGCAAAATTCTGACGTGAATTCGGTGGTCCTGTCGACAGGTCGACATCGTGTTTGGTTTGGTCGACATCGGTTGTTTAAGGTTCAATGATGGGTGATACTGGCGGGAGTTTGTTGAATTTGTTCTGATGTTTGCATCGCTTTAAACATCTCTTTGGTGGGTGCAACTATAAGTTCAGTTTCTCAGGAAACAACATGTTGATGGGTGCCTGTCTAGTGAGTCTAGGGGTTGTCCAGTTGCCTCCTTCCCTACCCAAACACTCCATGGGACGGCCATAGGACTGCCGAGAAACTGCCAGCGGTGGTTGAATCGGGGGCCATGGGGCGGCAGTCCGGACTGGCAGTCCCAGACAGGGTCGTGTCTTAAAATAGGGAGACCTCGTTCAACCACCTCAGTTCGGTTCAAATAAACCAGGGAGTGTTTGGGCTATTTTGTATGGATGATTTTCATCTTCCAGGCCGAGCGGAGCTTGTGAATCGGCCGGGACTGTGATCCAGAATTGCTTGGTTTCCAAAGCCATACTTGTGGGGGAGAAAAAAGAACATCCGAACGTACTCATGTTTCCTGTAGTTGTTCCCTTAAACCGATGCTGGAAACCAGGTGAACAAGCCGTGTTTGCCCATGTATTGGAGATTATTAGAGGCTCTGTCAGCGGGTTCGCCATCAATGCGTCCTCACCTCCAGGTGCCACACACGGCGGTGCTGGAGAAGATGGTCGGAGGCTTCCGGCAGGTCGCGAAGGAAGCCAAGACGAGGAGATGTTGTTTCCAAGTGACAAACAAAAAACCGTGTGATGCTAAGATATCTCTGTATTGTAAGCCTGTACACTCCTTTGGTGCGCAAAAAGGTGTGCCACATTATTTGCAGACCACTTTCAAAAAAGTGCTCGACCTTGGGCTTGAAAAAAAAAACAAACAAATATATATATATATATATATATGTGCGTTTGTGATTGCCACGGTGGTAGTCCATGGTATTGCCAATGACATGTTGTTTCAAGATACACCAAACATAACATTTATAACATCTTAAAACATGCATGTGATGCTGGCAAAACGTTTATATAAACATAACATAGAGATACATTTTTTCTGGTATCTTGGGTGCACCACCACCATCATGTCACATGTGCACTTGCATGCAATACCCAGCACATGCAGGGCAACCCCTGTCCCAAAGCCTTGTAAGCGCACCTTTTTCATTGGACCCTCAAAGCAACCATCCTTGCTGACGCCACTTGCGTTTGTAGTGCATCAAAGCACGACGCATGATCGAACCACAATGGTCCAGCTGTGAGCACAACGGGACATGCGTGCAACCTAGGGCCAAGTGAACAAGCACGCCCAATAAGAGCCTGCCCATGAAACTGCTTCCACATGTGACCCCGTAAGTTAAGCAATAAGTTAAGCAAGGCAACTCTGCCAATGTAGTTTTCATGTTGCCATGTGCTGTAGCCTGGGCAGAGGTTGAAGCTCACGATTTACAGTCAGACATGGCACACATGAACTCCCACGCTAAGACAAGGTGGTGACAAGACCATTTGCCCACCACGTGAGAGCTGGTCCACCATCCACAGCCTAGCAAAGGAAGAACTGTGAAGTGAAAATCATGCATGGCAGTCCTTACATTAAACTCATTCATGCTAGTCCTTACACACAGCTTAGGAACGAGATCTCTAATTGCATGTGCATTTCCAGCTTCACAGCGAACAAATTGTAGGTCTTGTTCTTGCACCTCAGCAGTGAAGGCCTCACAAACAAATGAATGACCCTACTCATTGCGGTCACAGCAGAAACCACATGCATGCAAGTCGCGCAGAAGTTCTGACAGTCTTGAACTGCAACTTCGGCCACTGGTCCCACAATCCAGGGCCCCTGAGTCTCAGAGAACCAAGACTGTATGCAATCCAACACCCAGCGCATGAGAGTGATGACGTCATCAGCAGCCGTCAGTAGCCAGGCACAGAGACAGGCAGCATTGCACTTAGCCAGCATTCATTCAAAACACCCAGCCATCAACAACCCCACAGCCAGCATACAAAAGCCAAGGGAGCCCTGGTGCCATCGTTCTCAGGCGCCAGGTGCACCGACTGTGTGAAGCCAGTTGCTCCACAGCCATTGTAATGATCATACGCTTTTCCATGAAGGCGTGGGCCAGCTTTCAACCTTCGAAGTAGCAGGTCCAAATGTTTTCAGCACAGCGGCACTCACGCGGACGCACACTCAGTGCTAGCAACCTGTTTGCAAACACATGTACTGCTCACTCCATTCACAACCTTAGACCTTGCCCCTCCTAAGCGATGTGCACATGAACATGTTCTTCAAATCAAATTGCGTAAACAAAGGGGGCCGGTTATTCTCTGGGGTGTTTTTGTTGGGTTATGGGGATTCCTTTCGAGTTTGTTTTGCTTCTGCTTTTGCTCCTGCTTCTGCTTTTGCATTTGCTTTTGCTTTGCTTCTGCTTCTGCATTTTCTCTTGCTTCTGCCTTTGCTTTCGCTTCTGCAACTGCAAATAGGCAGCTTGAAACGCTGCAACTGTTTCCGCAAGTGGCCAGCTTCCAATGCTATGCTGCTTGCTGTAAAGACTCTGTGCTGCTGCAAGTGGCCCCATTCCAACGTAGCAGACCTTCTATGAGCCGCCAAGAGCCAAACTTAAAGCAAGAAGTTAAGTAGGTGCCAACGTAGCAGTTCTTTTGTAGGCCCGGGACTCAAATTAGAAGACCCAGGAGCCATGCCAAAGCAGACCTTTTGTGAGCCAGCTGGAATAGAATTGAGAAGAGGCAGGTGCCATTCAGAAGAGAAAGGCGCCATTCCAACATAGCAGACCTTTAGTGAGCCACCCAAGAGTAAACTTTGGAGGCGGACCCTTTAGTGGGCGACTCAAAGGTAAACATTTAGAGGAGGGTGGAGGGAGCCACCCGAGGGCAGACTTCAGACAAGGAGGGGGGGGCCATTCCAACGTACTGTAGCAGACCTTTTGTCAGGTGTCCATTCCAAGGATAAAATTTCGGGTCACCTCAGGGTAACCTTTAGAGGAGGAAGGTGCCTTTGCAACGAGGGTAACATTTAGAGGAGGAGGAAGGTGCCGTTGCATTGTAAAAGACCTATTGCGAGCCACCGAGGGCGGAGAGAAAGGTGCCGGTCCACCGGTCCGCAGACCTTTTGTGAGCCATGCGGGAAGGTGCAGTTCCAACGCAGCACACCATTTGTGAGCCACCTCAGGGTAAAGTTTAGAGGAGGAAGGATTTAG